AGAATTCAAGTTTCTTTTATATGACGGATGTAGATGATAATGTTCGAATTATGAACTTATTTTGGGCCGATTGAAGGAGTAGGGCAACTTATGAATAATTTGGCGATGTTACATTTACACAACCTACTTGGCAAGTAAGTGTGGCATGCCCTTTGCACCTTTTGTGGGTGTTAAATCACCATGGACGCTCAATTTTATTTGGATGTGGATTACTAACATTATTTAAATTTGAAATAAATTTGAGAAAAAAATCACTTTTAATGACTTTAGTATGTGTTTTGGTGTGAATTAAAGCTATGGGTCTCATGAAAGATGTGATTAATATTGAATATTTGACTTTAACATAAATTAAAATCTGATTTTAATTCGAAACAAACATGATATTATACTAAACATCGACTAATAAGGTCAAATTTACCCCCCGCACTATTACATGAATGAAACAGAAAGAAACCTAAGAAAATAAAATATTGGCTATAGCCCAGAGGACATCTTCCCTCCCCCACATAACTCCACCAAACTCCTCCAGAAATTGAAACAAAGTGGCCACGTAAAAGTTATTTTTCAAAAATGGAAGAATTAAAAAAAAAAAAAATTGGAGGGTGAGTGATTGTTAATGAGCGTGGAAAAAAATAATTTTCAAATAAAGGCTACATATCGAAGAAGATTTGCCCAAAATGGGCTACAATTTTCATTTGCTGGCAAGAAATTAGAATATTGAATTTTATTTTAATTTTCTCCAACAACTCTGGAGACGTAAAATTAAAAACGAGCCATAGACACAGAGAAACAGAATATAAAAACGTACTCTCCAAAGCTTTACAATTGCGATTTTTTCCCCCTGGTTTGCCATTTGACCGATGACATGGGGAGAAATCCCCCTGAATTTGGGATGTGGCTGGGTGGAGTTCGGCATGGATGGTGTTTAGAGTAGTGGTGGCGGAGACAGTTACATTTAAGTGCGTGTTTGTCTCCTATTATTTTAGAAAAAAATGAAGTAATGAATAAAATTTTTTGGAGAATGTGTGGTTGAAATTTAAAGTAATTTTATCGATTTGTATGTAGAATATTTTATTGGGTGAATGTGGGGTTGATAATTTTACTATAGTACATAATGTTTTGGTAGACAAACGCCAAAATGGAAATGGCTTTATTTGGGATGAGAATTGGAGTGCCGGTGGTCTTTTTGGTTGAAGAGGGAAATGAATATTTTTTTCTCTTTATTCTTTTACTTACATTTAACCCATCCATCAAATACGAACAAAAAATTGATTAGGGCCATGATCTTTACTTTTGTCAAAAGCTAGGCAAAATGTGCATTTCACCCTTAAAAGAAAATGCATTCCACAAACTCAGCCTTTTGGATAAGGACCAATTGCTCAAAGAATGCAAAGGATTTAGGATCATCTATGCCAAATTTGAAAGGTTTGGACCAAATAAGCAAGATGGACAAACGTTTGGGATCAAATGTGCCAATTTCCCAACTTTTGATAGGTAAATGTGAAAAGGAATTTCAATTTTATGTTAATTGAAAAATAAAAACCCAACAAATCCATATGAATTCGTTTTTCACGAAAACAAAGAAAATGCAGTTTAAAGTGTTTGTATATTTGAATTCGGTTTCTATTTTCACGTTGCAATCAAACGGTCAAAGTGGAATTCGTTTTTCTCGAATATGACATTTTCCATTAAATTCGTTGCAATCAAATGGGCCTATATATTTATACCAGAATCTACTTCAAATATTTCAAATATTTTCATTTTTTTAAAAAAAAGTTTTTTTCCAATGATGGCAAAACCTAAAGTATAGAGAGCAGAAGGGAAAAGTACGGGTTTGTCCCGTCTTTTGCTTATATAAAAGTATAAATCTATAATTACTTACAAGATTAACAAAATTTACGAAAACAGTATCTCAAATCTCAATCTTCGAAGATGACGTCTGTCGCTATTCTCATCAACGGCTGAGCTGAACCGGGAGCGAATTTCCGAGCAAACAAGAATGGATCATGTCTTTTTGTCGGCGACGAATTTGAGCCGTTGGATTTATCATCACCGTATCTAGGCGTGTGCTTGCGGAGTGTCATAATCAACTCTGGGCCCACTTCGTTAGGCTTGTACATCCGAGGGTGGCCCCCATGGCTGCCTCTCCAGTCAACGTGCGTGAGGGTGCAGGGAATAATACCCCGCGAGTCCACCATGTTAAGCAGCGTAGGGAAGTAATGCTCTTCAGGGTAACACGTGGCGGCCTGTAGGCAAGGTAGCTTGAACTTCGACCACAACCTTCGGTCACGCACAGATATCCTGGCGTGCTTACGCTTTATTACCCAAAATTGGGACCCAATTCGGAAATCCTCAAACCTCAATTCAGGAATCATAACACTTTCCCCACGCGCGGCCCATCTATCGTATGCGCCGGGCTCGTTTTTGAGAATTTCGATAAAGCTCTTCCTTGACTTAATTAAAGTTCTATACGTGAAATTGAAGGAATGCAAGGGAATGCAAGCTGGAGAAAGCAGGGCAAACATGTAATTTGACTTGTCATGGAGAAGAGCGTGGGCGAGGAGCCGACGGGTAGCTGAGATGAGTGTCGGGGAGTGGCGGCGCGTGGGCATAGATTGAATAACTCGGTGGCGGAAAACGCCGCTGAACGATGGCGTGTAGTTGAAACTTGGGTCTGCGTGCACGTAAATGTTGTACAGATTCTTAGGGGTGTTGTTGAAGAAGAGTTCCCAGAGGGGTGCAAAGGGAAGAGGAGTGTTAGTCAAGAACATAAATGCTATTTTCTTGATTGGCTTCTTCGGGTTCGGGTTGACCCGGGAAGCCAGTTGGAATCGTGAATAATCATCATCTTCATGGCTTTCATTATTATTTACATGCAAGGGTGGTTGCCCAGATGGTGGTCCTGGTGGTGGTGAAATGGTGGTCGCTTTGGTGGTGGTGTTATTGATTTGGGGTTTTTGTGGGGTTTTAGTTTTTCTTGGGAACCTTGGTAATGGATTTCTTGTAGTTAAGTTCTTAGTGAAAGTGACATTAGTGGTAGTGAGGAAGGGAGAAGTGGTGCTAATTGGGACAGTGGTGGTGGTGGAGGAGGATGGGTTGGTAGGAGTGGTCAAAGTGAAGACTATGGCGAGAGGTAAACAAAGAAGAAGAGCACAAAGGAGCGATACCGGCGTAGGTGATAGCATGATGTCTTGTGGTCAGCACTCAGCCGCCAAAGTGGTGGCGCGGGGTGGAGGGGACGGGAGTGGAGTGGAGTTGGGTGTGGGAGGAACAGGGGAGGGTCTTATTGAATAACTGAGTAAAGTGACAATGTGCATCTTGATTCTGGAGCAAACCAAAATTAATTCTCATATTTATATCAATTGTCGGTCCAATCCAGTCAGCACATCATATCTTGAAACTGTCTTACTTTTACACGAGAAAGGGAATAAAAGCATGAAAATGAGAGGCATTTGGGGGAGTTTAGTGAAAATGTACGCAATTAGTTGTTAAGCTAATACGATTCACGGCGGAGGGTGGGGGTGGAGGGGCGAACACACGTGGCTTACATGCAATGCAACCCATAGATTGTGGCCAATTCTCGTGATGGTTGGGGATCAAACTCGTGAAAGAAGCACCAATTTGGAGGTACACTGGTAATTGAGAAAATGTGGATTAAAATCAATTTTTACTAGATTTTGATAAATTTTGATGAAATGTATGATTGAAAAAATGTGGATTTTCGAAAAATGTATTGTTAAAACTAATTATTGATATGAACAATTACAGTCTAATTGGTACATGAGTAATTGTACTTTACTCTAGTATCAATAAGATAACTTACTTCAATTTTAATCAATCAGATAACTAAACATCATTATGATTTCGATCAGATAACTATACTTTAACTTAATTTTAATTGATTAGTTAAACATTATTTTTACTCCAATTGATATAATTTCATCCAATTCCAGTGACAAAGATTGATGACTTGATAGTTAAAAATTGATGGTTATCACATCGATTGTGCTACACATATATAATAATTTACATAATGGTTTACATACACATGACGTAGTGAAATATGATTGTAACCTACACATTGTTAATCTTGCTTAGAGATAGCAACTCGACACACATTGTTAATCTTGCTTAGAGATAGCAACTCGACGGGATTGGGAAGCAAGGCAAGCCCGCTCCCCGTCACTCCCCGAAGCAAAGCCCCTGCTCATCCCTCCCTCGCGCCAAGCCTTAGACGGGGCAGGCGGCGGACTGTTTTCTGCCTTTTTTTAAAATAAAAATTTTTCAATTAAAATACAAATTCAAAATTTTAAAATTCAAAGCAAATAATACTCAAACAAACTATATCAATATTCAAAGCAAACACTCGAAACAAACAATGTCCAAAATATTTTTTTTCTTTTTTTTTATTCTTCACAATGCCCCGCCCTGAGACCCACCCGGCCCTGCCAACCCGTTGTGGCGTGGCATTCTTTTTGTCATCGCTAATCTTGCTACCTCATATGTAATATATATGCCCAGTTTGTTTCCCGTTATTTCAAAACATTATTTGCTACAGTAAGATTCTCCACCGCATATTCACCCAATAAAATATTTTACATACAAACCAATAAAATTACTTTAAATTTCAACAACATATTCTCCAAAAAATACTATTTGTTGACACCGACCTCCGAGGTCATTAGGCTCGGAAAGATTGAGTACCATTAGCACAACACGTGATTGAGCTCGGTAAGATATTGAGCTCGGTAGTGTATTGAGTTCGGTAACAAGCCAATGTCTGAATCAGTCTATAGTATCATTAGGTAATGTAATGAGTTCGACTGGGACGAGGTCAGCTCGTTAGGTATGTCTTCGTGGAGAAGTTTGTGTAGTCTTCCAAGGCGAAAAAATATTGTAATAATGAGAGATCTCTGACATGAAAGAACCCCCTGAAAAGGCCTTACGTCAGCCCTTCTTTATCCTCCAATCAGATGTGTTAGCTGCCTCTCCTAAGTTATGAAATAATTACGGGGGGACCACTTGTCATTAATGTTCTGAGGAACTCTGAAAAAGTCTAGTTCGGGGACCACTCCTATTGTGCCAGCCACTGGACTTCTTCAGCTC